CGGAAAAAATACGAATCCAAACTTTTTCTTCCCCTTCACGATCTTATCTCTCCTAGCAATCGTTCAAAGCACACCGCAACGCGTTCTCAAAACAGTTTCATAATTTTTAGAAAAGATTTTCAAGCTCGTTTAATCGCCGAACAGGGACCAGAAATTGGTGCACATTTGAAGGATATTTCTCGTCGTGCAAGTCTCTTTTGGAGAGAATGTTCTCCCGAAGATAAATACATGTATGACCGAATTGCTGCATGTACAAAAAAATTGCACGGAAAGAATTCGACTCGTTATCATCATAAACCAATGAAGCCAGGAAGATGCGGTACAGAGTATAGAGATAATGAGATGGGTAGAAAACAAAATTCTCAAAATTCATCTCCTTTACCCTTTACGAATCATGTCTCTCATGCAAATTCCACAAACTCAATTCATGGTCATTTAAATAACGATAAATTACCCCCTAACAATTATTATCATTCTTATATTACAAATTTTCAATTCTTCAAACAAGGTGTCGCTTCCCATAATCCAAAGTTGTTTAACAATCAACTGCAAATCAATTCTCTATCTTCATATGACAAATCTCTCATCAGTTCTGTTGATAAAAACACCAGAATCTGATCTTTTAGTAGAGTGCATGGTGTATTAAAAATTTGTTATTCAATCTCTTTCCAAATGACAGTCAATCTTATGAATAACCGCACGTTTCTACCTAAGGGCCATTTATCAGATCATAAATCTAAGGGTACAGATAATTATGTCAAGTAGTTGCAATAAAATACGAAAAAAATTCAATTAATACCATTTAAACCATTAAAGCAAGAGTATGTGAACTAAAGATGTATGGTTTCATAATATAGGTAATCATTTTGAAATTAAGAGAGTAGCAATTCATCTGAATTATGGATATCAAAATAATGTAATTTTATTATTCTAACTCGAAATAAATAAATTCACTTTCTTTATTAAGTGTGTCGATTTTCTGAGCGCTTACCATTTACGTGCGACTTTACGTATAAATACAGCATTTGAACGACGTAGTACGTGATTTAACCACTTTGATCCAGATTTCTCATTTGCTGGTTACTGTAACTGTATCCAGAAAACATAATAATTATTCGTACTGTTAGAAAACTTTGATCCTGTTCATAAACAGGTTTATTAGAATCAGTATGATACAAATGTATAGTAAATCTCCGCACAACCACTCTATTGTTTAATACACTATAAAAAGCATTTGTAATTTTTATACCT